TCTCTGCTTCAACCAGATTAACCACACAAATGTTATTGTCACCATTGTGACTACCGACACTTTTTACAAATAATACACTGATAGTTGAACACCGAGACTCAGACTGACATATCATACTTTGTTTTCAAATATCTTTGGCTTTGGTTAAAAACCAACAATTATACATTCTTAAACATTTTAAATACTTCAGCCTACATAATTTCCATAATGATGGTCAATTATTCCACTTACTGAGAATACTATTAAATACTTCTTTACCATAAAAATTCTTTTGGGTTTAATTGAAGTATTATTATTCACAGCTGGTCTAAAAAATTGGGTGTTTTGATGCATCATACTTTTGTCAGTAAAATTAAAAACCTATTTAGTCCTATCCGGCTATGCAGAGTTTTATTTGTATTGAGGAGGTAGGGCTTAGAGAGACACAGAGGCTTAATGAATATGGTTACACTGAATTTTATCAGTAAGTAAATTTCATTTTTTACATCCTGAAACCAAAAATCACCATATTATGCATGAATTACATATCACTTGTCACAGAGTGAACATACCAAATTCAAACAACATTCACACTGTTTCTAGATGAAATAATCAACCAATATTTTGGGCAAACAATATAATTCATGAGGGGAAAAAATAAATATTTATATGTGTGCAAATAGTTTCCAGATCAGCTAACAGGATTGAAACCAGCTTTCCCAGTTATGCTTGGAGCTGATGAGAACAGTTAGTTTTGAACACAAAATGGCATGGGACTTTAATTCATCTAGGTGGCAATATATTGCCTTCTCACCAGCACAATTGATCAAGTCATACACATTCATTACTGCCAATCTCTTTATTATTTATGTCTCATTACAAATACAATATATTTTCATTATCAGCAGTATCATTACAACTTGTGCATCACCAATATCATCACAACTTGTATTTCACTACCATCATCATTATTCTCACCATTCTAATTTTATTAGTCAATCAGAATGAATAAAAAATTTCCTATTTTACACCACTCTTATATTACTTAATTGCCCAAGGTCAGGGCCATTTCACATCACTCCGGGATCTGAATACCCTAGCTGCAATCACCTTTTCCATATAATACTAAAAGAGAAACAAACGACAAATGTCTTACTGGCACACTGGAATATCATAATTGCCATAAAATAACTGTCATTTGAAACCACATTCTGCTGTAACAGCACAACTGCTCAAGGTTGCAAGGTAAATAATAGGGATGTAGTAAGGCCAGTATTACTGGTAATTGTCTTTTTACATTTTGCTCACAACCAAAGTCCAATTATATGGAGCAAAAGTTAGAATATCCAGCCACTTTTTATTACTCACTTAATCTTACACTTGACAGGTAAAATTGTCTGGTGTTGGACATAGAAAAATAACAAAGTATGCCATATTTGATTATCCCATATTCCCATTACTGTAGTGTGACCACACAAGACTCTCCCTTGGATGGGTAAAATTGGGGGCTATGGAGATTTAATGGCAAGAAGTGGGGGAAACATTTTCTCCAGTAAAATTTATGGGGGCCATTGGAAATTTATGGGGCCATTGGAATTTTATGGGGGCCATTGGAATCATCAACCAGAGTATTGAGGCGATAAAGAAAAGAATACCTGACTGTAAAATTAATGTAATCTAACTTTCTTGTCACACAAAGTTAGGTAACGTTGGCATTTTCACACTTTTCTATTATTATCGTACTATTCTGTTAAGTATTTATTGGATGAGTCAGAGACCAATGGATTGGTATGAGGGCAGTTAATTTGTAATTTTTGCATGTATTCATTTATTAACTTTTGACTACTGTAATGGTCAGCCAGTTAAATAAGTATCTTACTGAGGGTACTGCCTAACTATTTTACATGTCAAAGAGAACTCCAGTTATGAAAGATTGAATATTTTCTGAGCAAGCTGGAACAGAAAATTTTGATTTTAGTGAACTAACCCTTACCAAACTGACATATATGTAAAATGTCTGCAAGTATCTGTCACATATCTGTTGCAGTACTGCAGCATAACTGCAACAAGGTCTACAATATCTACAAAATATCTGCATAAAAGTTGCAGATATTTTGCAGATATGTTGAGTATCTGTCAACATATCTGCAAAATATCTGCATAAAAGTTGCAGATATTTGCAGATATGTCCATTGTCTGTCAAAATATCTGCAAACTATCTGCATAAAAGTTGCAGATATTTGCAGATATGGTAATTGTCTGTCAAAATATCTGCAAACTATCTGCATAAAAGTTGCAGATATTTGCAGATATGTCAGTTGTCTGTCAAAATATCTGCAAAATATCTGCATAAAAATTGCAGATATATATAGATATGCCAATTGTCTGTCAATATACAGTATCTCGACTACACAGCAAAAAAATAATTTCTTATTGAGAAAACAATTCTTACTTCAAGAAAATACCTGGTAGTCTTCGATATCTTGAAAGCAAGATCCACAAGAGTACGCGATGTTGTCCAGCTCGCTTTCCAGCTCACGTTTCTGATTCTTCTTTAGCACATGGCTTGCGTAACACACTCTCCACTTCAAACAGTCATCACACTGGATAAAGAAAACAAATTTAAATAGATTATACAAGTTAATTGCACTGATACTGTAGAACACCGGTTCTCTACTCTAACGACAGCAAATAGGTTTAACATTAGTCCAAATTTACCTGAATAACAGTCTTCGCATTGTTGGACTTATGGGAGGATGGTGAAAAAGGCATCCGATGACGGGCAGCAGCTTTCAGCTGGTTAGACGGTACGTGCTTCTCTTCATTGCTATCATCATCTTTTCCATACAATTCCTAAAATACACAAGTACAACGTTTATAAAATACACATCTTTCAGTTTTTGTAGTACATGCAGTGAGTGGTGGAATTTCATTTGAGCATACCTGAAATGATTTGTAATGATCTCTATGTGGAATCGGATAAGGTAAGTGGTGGAGCTTGTCAAACAAATCAGGTTGGGTTCTGGGAATTCTGCAAGCACAATTCTCTTCTTTGCACTTTTTTATGCTAAATTGATAGTGGCCTTTCCGAGTATGACTATGCATGAATTTTTTTAGCTTCTTTGAAATCTTGCAAGGCTTGGACGTATCTATTAGCACATCTAAATTGAAGCCTGGGTCTATCTTGTGAAGTTGTGAAGCCGTCTTTGTGATGCCCTCTTTAGTGGCAGCAGTAAACACTTGGAAGTTTTTCCCCTTGAGTTGGCATCTCTTAAACTGAGAACTCAGAAGGATCTTGGGCTGTTCAAGCGAGTCAGAGATTTCATGTTGAGCACTTGGATTTTTTTCCGCTACTTTCCTAATTTTTTTCAAATTGTTAGCAGATTTCAGTGCGCCCTCCTGTGTTTCTGTTTCTGTCCTCATGACACCCACGCCTTGTAAAGCTAAATTGAGATTAGACATGACTCGCTCTGCAGGATTCTTCCATGAGTGTTGTGGAGGTGTCTGCACCAGTATAAGCATGTCTAAATCTCGCTCCAGAAAGTATGCCACTTGACTAAGTTGCGTTCTAAGAAAACGTAAGTTGTGATCGAATCCACCGTCGTGATAGTGACATTCTACTGGTTTGTCCTGATCTGAAGTATTCAGGCAAGTATTCAATTCACATGCATGTCGAAGAGCAGATGAAGGTTCAGCTTTGAGACCAACATACACTTGGCCATCATAGAAACTTCCATCTATGGAATCCGGGATCTCTACAACTAGTGAGACGGAAGGAGATAATGAAAACTTGGTAAAGTCATGGTCACCAACTTCGAAAGACTGGTTCAAGCCGACAATGACACGCTTGCCCCGCTCCACAGCAGCTACTGGAAAGCCAGGCTCCCCTACTTTGATGGTATGCTTGTCATCTTCGCACACAAGGCTTGCAATATCCTGGAACTGCACACAAAATTCTTTCTGGTATCTAAATACAGCTGATGCATAGTGGGCATCTACATGACTCTTTCTAAACTGGCGTGCTGCAACAACCATTTTGACTTTCAGTCGTCCTGTGTGTCTTTTGCTAGCTGCACATGCCTTACTTGGCCAGAACTGCAACCGGAGCCATTGAATGGATGGTATTGGTGTTCCTTCAGGGCACTGTTCCTTCACCTGTTCATGCAAGTCTCGAGCATTCATTGCCATAGCCAGATGAACCACACTTTCCCCATTCTCAGTGACATTATCATTTCGTCTATCATCTACTGCCGTCTCTACCTTGCCTTTTATATAATCCTGGCACTTCTGCAGGAAAAGTGGATAGTCTTCCGGTCGTCCAGTGTTGTTTACTCTCAAGTCCCACAAGATGTCAGGATCCTCGTGATCCAGTACCTCTTGTATCCGACTGTCAACTTCCTTCTCGGACAAGTTCCGTGCAGCCGCAGAATCCCCAGTTAATCGGCGGTATGCTTCACGAAGGAATGCACTCTTAACTCCAGTTACTTTTCCAAAGCAAGAAAGGAAGTCTCTCTTCATAGCCCTACTATGGTAGACAGGAAATTGTAATTTGAATTTGTCTTTGGTCTGATCGTTTTTCTGCTGTCGAACACTTTCATTGTCAGCTACTTCTAGCTTCCACACGAAATGGAGATGGTTGTGCAATGCTGTATAAGAGTATCTAATACACTTGATAGGGAAGACCAGGCCAGTCATGTATTCAAATCTCCTTCTCCTATCGGCTGGAGCAAAGTCGTTAATAAAAATGGCTTCGTAGGAATCTGCATTTTGGAGTGCTTGGTGCAGGCTTTGATATTTAGCTCTCTTTGTAGGTGTAATGTTCATTGCTTGATACACCTGCCATTCATCAACATCTGTGCGAGCAATTTTCCTAGCTTGAGACGTTTCAGTTGCTGCCAATTGTTCATCCAGGTAGTTGGCATATTTCCTCAGATTATCAGCTAGTCTAAGCAAAGCATTGTACACTCCTAGTGATAAGCAAATGAGGAAATTTAATATGAATAAATGAGTGTCTATTAATAATGATGCATGTGTATATGTATTTAATAATTTATATATCATGGAATGACCAAAATTACACACACCTTTCCATGCATCCCTTTTGAGGTAGCTGCAACTGCACATCTGAAAAAGTCGCTGTGAATAGGCGAATACATCAATATAATTCAAATTGTTGTACTGACGTTTTCTGTGTTTGGTTATTTCTGGTTTGTTGTAGCCTTGGAGGTGCTTGAACATCTCTGGAATCCCACACCCTCTGTCTTGCAAGGTCTTGTCATGTCCATCAATAGCCCACAATACATCAGCCAATGTGTTAATGAAGTTACATCCCTGATCAGTAACAGCATCTGCAGTCCACCCAAGCTCGTTAATCTCAAGCCAACCTAAAATGTCGTTCTTCAAGTCCAACTTGCGATTAGGCTTTTTCACTTCATACTTGTGTGGCAATGATTTCTGCTGGCGTTGCATGGCCATCATTATAGTGAAGGGATTTTGTGTGTGTGGAACCTTGTCTTCTGCATCTCTTGCACAAGCTGGTTCAGTGACAACAAATTCAACGAATTGACCCAAGCATACAACATCTGAGATGCGCTCTTGTGGACTGGTATTTACCTTTTTGTCACTCTTGCTGTGACCTATCCTGACTTCAACCTGCAACAGCCAATTGGTGGCATTGACTAAGGTGTTTATATTATGGAAACACATTCTGATCACTTTTGCATGCCTTAAACAATTTTATAAACAATTAATATATTTGCCTTTAATATTAATTTAATATGAAGAGATATAAATGTTGATATACTATTATTATTATATTAAAATGATAATATTTTTGACACGTTTTTGACGATATTAAAATTCTGTCTATATGCATATATTAAAATATTTAAAAGCGGAAAATATTTTAAATATGTTAATATTTTCATTATGTAAAAATGAAGTCATTTCTAATATATATTTATTTCTATTTAATATATATTTATAAAATACATGCACTTGAATGTTGTGCTATATTCATGTTTATAAAAACGACGAGATTTAGTACATAGTCAGTCACTACTTACTTGAACCGTTTGATATTTCTCATCTATTGCAACTCCTGTACCATCAAATTCTCCACTTGCAAAATCGTTGAAAATATCTGACAAACTCTGGTCTCCATCCTTAGTAGAACCATGGATAATAAAATAAATGGATAGGAAACTAGCTGACGTGACCTAATGTTTTTACTGGGATTGATGGCGTGGTTGGATGCCTCAACCTAGTTGAAAATCAAATTCTCAAAAACGGCATGTTTAGCAATAATACAGCTAAACATTTTAGTCAAAGAGCAAATAAATGTAACCACGCCATTCTACGATGAAAACTCTAATTATTCCCAGTCAATTTTAGCAAATATTTCAAGCACTAAACAGCAGGGATGGCATCTTGTCTTTTAATAATTTGTCTTTTATTGTCTTTTATTATTAAAAGAAGAATTGAAATATGACTGGAATTTGTCTTTTATTGTCTTTTATTCAGATTTTTATTTTTTATAAACTGAGTTTAGTTATCTTCGAAACTTTCTGCGCCATTAATCACACTTCACACATTTTACAACAACAACATATTTTTACAATTTTACTCTGCACAACTCTGCACATTTTGAATCTTTACTCTTATGCGTGGTCCTGGGACCTGGGTACGAGGTTGATGGCTTATACATTCAAATTCCGAAGCATTGAAGCAAGGTAAAATTTACATATTTTTAATAATTAAAAAAATTACATATTATTTAAGTCTTTAATTAATACTAATGAAAATGTCTATGTCTATAGCCCTTGACTTTAAGTCTTTAAAGTATTTTCAGTGAAATAAATCTACATAAAAACTACTATTTTTAATTTTTTATTTGTATAAATTGAATGTATAAATTAAATGCGTGTGTAGACTGTAGACTACTAGACTGTGGACTGTACTGTAGGCTGACAGTGAAAAATACATCGCAAATTTCGTTAAAATTTGTGACGCCAATTTCGTAGCTACAAATGTAAAAAAATACAAAACAAAGACGAAAAAAAATTACCTTGAATACTTTGTCGTGGCTTAGGCATGTTTTTAAAACAATTAGACCAGTTTACGCTTCAAGATCACCCTTTTAAAGTGGAAAATATAGCAAAACAACAAATATGCCGAGAACTTTGGTAACATTCGCAATACGCGTGACGTCACGTTTTTCAACAAGGATGCAGTCAATGACGTCAGAAGTTTCCAATCCATTTATTTTATTATCCATGGTAGAACGTGCGTACCAATGTTTAAGGACTTTTTTGGACGTGCCATTAGGCGTCCTTATGCAAGCACATATGAAAACCATTTTTATACTGTATAATGATATGAACGCAACGCTTCGATTAATATTATGGTAAATATAAAAATATGGCGCCAAACATTGGCGCTAAAGATGCCGAGCATCTCCGAACAAGATTCCGAGCATCTCCGAACGGTAACCGAAGGTGTCCGACAGTTTCCGAAAGGCCGAAAAATAATTAAAAATAAAAGAAATATTCACGCGGCTACGGTGGCCCAGACGCGACAGCACAAAAACAGTTTTTGTATTTTTTGATTTTTTGATTTTTTGATTTTTTGATTTTTTGATTTTTTGATTTTTGTATTTTTTGATTTTTGTATTTTTTGATTTTTTGATTTTTTGATTTTTTGATTTTTTGATTTTTTGATTTTTTGATTTTTTGATTTTTTGATTTTTTGATTTTTTGATTTTTTGATTTTTTGATTTTTTGATTTTTTGATTTTTTGATTTTTTGATTTTTAGATTTTTTGATTTTTTGATTTTTTGATTTTTTGATTTTTTGATTTTTTGATTTTTTGATTTTTGTATTTTTTGATTTTTTGATTTTTTGATTTTTTGATTTTTGTATTTTTTGATTTTTTGATTTTTGTATTTTTTGATTTTTTGATTTTTCGATTTTTTGATTTTTGATTTTTCGATTTTTTGAATTTGATATATATTTGGATTTTTTTAATGTTTAAAGACCTTGTCAAGTTCGTTCTGCACATCAGTTCTGTTCATAACAAACGGCGACCCACAGAAATAAATATTGCCCAAATTTTGCATTTTTCGAAATGTTTTGAATTGAAACGTACTCTAGTTTATATTCATTTACAATAGCGAACCAGAAAACTGTTAGATATTTATTATTTAGTTAATAGTATGTCTTATTTTACAAATATATAGCAGTCCAAAATATAAACAAAGCGTCGAAGGATTTATTTACATTACGCGGACTTGACATGTATGGTCTTCAAAAGTTTGAAGTACTATAGGCGAGGCCGAGTATCTTTTATAAGTCTGATAAAACACGCACTGCGGATGTAAATTTTATGTCTACAATCTAGATAAAGCATGAGCGGCCGTGTTGTATCAAATGTACAAACTTGAGCCAAAGACAATGTCTGGGACAACAATGTCACAACATGTACGCGATACTTCGTATGACTTGTGATCAAACGTTTGAGAACATTCGTATTCTTCAACAATTTTAAATATTCAATGAATGATATTTGGTGAGAAAATTTAACTTAAAGTTTATCTAAATGAGTTTTTTAGTACTATTTAATACATGATCAGCAGTGTTTTATCAGATATAAAATAGGAGGCGAAGCCGAATATCTTTACTCTTTAGGTCTGATAATAAAGAAGACATCGGCACTGTATTTTAAAGGGGAAGTCAAGTCCGTAATGTAAACAAACGGTTTGTTTACATTTTGAACTGCTGTATTTTTTAAAATATGATGTACTGTCTGAATATCTAACACCATTTTGGTTCGTTATGCTTCTACATGAATATGAAATAGAGTTTGTGTTCAGAAAAATTCGAAACATTCAAAATTTGGGCAATGTTTACCTCAGAGGGCCCTCTATTGTTATGCGCAGAACCGATGCGCAGAACGGACTTGACTTCCCCTTTAAATTGCTTCAAAAACGATCGCTCTATACTACGGTCATTGGCGAAGTAATTTTCAAAAAATACGTTGTGTAAGTCGAGAAAATCAAAGTTAAAGTTTATGTAAATCAAGGGAAATCTCTATCACATGTAAACGACACGCTTATGTTATGATTTTTCTTTGTGTTTTCCTCACAAATTTAATACGTTTTTGAAATGTAAATATCAGCCTGCGTAGAAGGCGGTATTCGCGGGCTTTTTCCCTGACTACGAACGAACTTCAAACTTTTATTTTCAAACTTTTATTTTCAAACTTTTATTTTCAAACTTTTATTTGCAAACTTTTATTTTCAAACTTTTATTTTCAAACTTTTATTTTCAAACATTTATTTTTAAACTTTTATTTTTAAACTTTTATTTTTAAACTTTTATTTTCAAACTTTTATTTTTAAACTTTTATTTTTAAACTTTTATTTTTAAACTTTTATTTTCAAACTTTTATTTTCAAACTTTTATTTTTAAACTTCTATTTTCAAACTTTTATTTTCAAACTTTTATTTTTAAACTTTTATTTTTAAACTTTTATTTTTAAACTTTTATTTTTAAACTTTTATTTTTAAACTTTTATTTTTAAACTTTTATTTTTAAACTTTTATTTTCAAACTTTTATTTTCAAACTTTTATTTTCAAACTTTTATTTTTAAACTTTTATTTTCAAACTTTTATTTTCAAACTTTTATTTTCAAACTTTTATTTTTAAACTTTTATTTTTAAACTTTTATTTTCAAACTTTTATTTTTAAACTTTTATTTTTAAACTTTTATTTTCAAACTTTTATTTTTAAACTTTTATTTTTAAACTTTTATTTTCAAACTTTTATTTTTAAACTTTTATTTTTAAACTTTTATTTTTAAACTTTTATTTTCAAACTTTTATTTTCAAACTTTTATTTTCAAACTTTTATTTTCAAACTTTTATTTTCAAACTTTTATTTTCAAACTTGAACAGGAATATAAAGTCTGGACAAGAGTATTAGTGCATAAATAAATAAGGGAAAGTACATTTATTATGCCAAGGGGGGAGGTGAAGATGTCAAGGGGGGCATCGAAATATTCTCTGGCAATCTGGCATTAAACGGGGGGGGGGGCTCGATATACTGAAGGTGGGGGGGAAAGCTCTGAACTTTTCAAAGGGGTCTGGAGTGTTCACTCACACATAGTTCATGGAATAGATGGTTTGAAAACTCCCCCTACTGTGAAATTCAGGCAAAAATATGTAAAATTGAAGTTAAAATTTTGGCATTTTCAGGTAAAATTTTCGTAATAAAGTAATTATTTTTGGGAAATGATAACCATTTTTGTAAAATACTGTCAATTTGCATAAAATTTGTTTGCGAATTTGCTTTAAAATACGCCAGAAATTCAGTTGTAGAGCTTCAAAAATGTAAACATTTTCTGGGGGAGGACCCCCAGACCCCCCTTTTCTCCCGAAACTTAATATGAGAGTCCCAATCAATCACAAAAAGCTTTATTATTATAATTACATGTATAATCCTCCAACATCCCCCCCCAAACGTCAGATGCTTTGCTAGATCCCTGATGGTTGTATTCGAAACCGATTTCAGTTTCAAGATATCCTTAGTCTGCTCTTCTATAAATGGATACATGAAATCACCTATAGCTCACTGAAATTTTTCTGGCGCCAATCCAATTTTTTTTTTAAAAAGGGTGCCATTTAATCTGGCGCCAGTGAGGTGAAAGAAGCAGTAGGTCGGTATTTTTGTTGAGGAGAAGTACATGCTTGAGTATATCAGACATCTCGAGGAGCTGCAAATTGTATCTATGATGCCTATGATAAGAGGAAATGCCGGATTGTACTGCTTCGATTCCGAATTCTGAAGGGGGGCATTGAAAATTTTAAAAACTTGGAGGGGGGCATCGGAAATTTACCAACAATCTCAACAGGGGCCATGTAAAAATATGAGCTTTTTTTCAAGACATATCCATTCCCCCCCCCCTCGACATAATAAATGTACTTTCCCTAAACAGTGATCATGTATATATATATATTGTAGTATGAACTTGATATATGTACAATAAAGTATCCTAAACCAGAATGCGGTGCATCACACAGGTCGATTGGACAACTAGTAGCTTAAGAAAAGTTTTCCCGTCATACCATAACGCAATGGCACGTTTTTGACCAACTTTTTTTTAAAAAACATCGCAATCTCTAAACAAGAAGGGCACCTTTGACGTTAATTTAGTATTTACAGCGACATTAGCTTGTACAAAAAAGGGCACTTTTCATCACAAAAAGGGACACTTTCGGTCCTTTAAAACAATTTGGGAGGGGGGGACGTGCCCCCTCTGCCCCCCTCTTCCTACGCCCCTGATTCCAAGACCACTTGATCCCGAGATTGAAGGCCTTATGTAGATGAGCATTTCGAGTGGAAGATTCATATATATTTAATTTAGACCTATAACCAGCTGCTGAAAATAGAACTATAGCAGAAATCGAACCTACGGCCCTGCAATTCCGTTGCAGTGCTCTAAGCACAAGTTCTTGTTTATATACAGTATTTAGTCCAGGTGATGCCATTATATAAGATATGAACAGATTGAAGGATTTATGTAGGATGGAAATTTCAAGCACAAATTTCAAGAAAAATCCCAAGCGCAAATTGAGATTTCCAGCGTCATATTCCCAAAAATCTTTATCTTTACCCACAGGTTCGATTCCTGTCAGATGACAGCATTTTCGCAACTGCTCCTGTAGTTAAGTCTAAAATTGTATATATATTGAATCTTTCAATTTACATCTACTGCATGCAGGATCGCCGAGAGAGAGGCAGAGGGGAACTTTATCTCGGGCGGGGCTCGCAGAACAAGGGATCCTTAAAATTTATTGATGCAAGATTGATGAACTCAGAATATAAATCCCAGGACCCAGATGATACATCTAAAAATCTCAAAAAATTAAGAAAATTGTCGGCAAAAAATAAACGATTTTATGTCCGCAAAATTTTTCCGGCACCAAATGAACCATTTGTCCGGCGCCATATGTCGTGAAAAGTTTTTTATCAAGATTATACGTACAGTGTAATTTACAGCATGAGCTCCACAATTTACTATATGAGTAAATTGTTAAACGCGTCCAAATTTATCAACATGATAAATGCCAAATTCGCGGCCCTAACCCTTAACCTTAATTTTGTGTTACACAGCTTCGATTATGTTATATTTTCCAATTATCAGTAACCTTGCCCGCTCATTCAAGTGCTACAGTATGTATATCTATACTGAATAAAAAAACAATCAAAAAATCAAAAAATCAAAAAATCAAAAAATCAAAAAATCAAAAAATCAAAAAATCAAAAAATCAAAAAATCAAAAAATCAAAAAATCAAAAAATCAAAAAATCAAAAAATCAAAAAACTGTTTTTGTGCTGTCGCGTCTGGGCCGCCGTAAATAAGGGAGTACATTTATTATGCTGAAGGGTGGGGGGGGGTGAAGATGTTAAGGGGGACATCGAAATATTCTCTGGCAATCTGGCATTGAACGGGGGGCTCGATATACTGACGGTGGGTGGGGGGTAGCTGTAGACTTTTCAAAGTTTTGGTCCAGCAGTGGCCTGGAGTGTTCACTCCCACATAGTTAATGGATAGATGGTTTGAAAACTCCCCCTACTGTGAAATTCAGACAAAAATATATAAAATTCAAGTTAAAATTTTGACATTTTCAGGTAAAATTTGCGTAATAAAGTAATTATTTTTGTGAAATGATAACCATTTTTGTAAAATACAGTCAATTTGCATGAAATTTGTTTGCGAATTTGCTTTAAAACACGCCAGAAATTCAGTCGTAGAATGTAAACATTTTCTACACCCTTTTTCTCCCGAAACTTAATATGAGAGTGCCAATCAATCACAAAAAGCTTTATTATTATTATTACATGTATAATCCCCCAACATCCCCCCCCCCCAAACGTCAGATGCTTTGCTAGGTCCCCCTGATGGTTGTATTCGAAACCGATTTCAGTTTCAAGATATCCTTAGTCTGCTCTTCTATAAATAGATACATGAAATCACCTATAGCTCACTTAAATTTTTTTGGCACCAATCTAAAATTATTTTTTTTTAAAAGGGTGCCATTTAATCTGGCGCTAGTGAGGTGAAAGAAGCAGTAGGTCGGTATTTTAGTTGAGGAGAAGTACATGCTTGAGTATATCAGACATCTTGAGGAGCTGTAAATTGTATATATGATGTCTACGATAAGAAAGAATTCCGGATTGTATTGCTTCGATTCCGAATTCTGGAGGGGGGGGGGGCATTGAAAATTTTAGAAACTTGGAGGGGGGCATCGGAAATTTACCAATAATCTCAACAGGGGCCCTGTTAAGACATATCCATCTCCCCCCCCCCTCGGCATAATAAATGTAATTTCCCTAAACAGTGATCATGTATATTATATTGTAGTATAAAACTTGATGTATGTACAATAAAGTATTCTAAACCAGAATGCGGTGCACCACACACGTCGATTGGACAACTAGTAGCTTAAGAAAAGTTTTCCCGTAATACCATATATAACGCAATGGCACGTTTTTGACCAAATATTTTAAAAAAAACATCGAAATCTCTAAACAAGAAGGGCACCTTTGATGTTAATTTAGTATTTACAGAGACATTAACTTGTACAAAAAGGGCACTTTTCATCACAAAAAGGGACACTTTTCGTCCTTTGAAACAATTTGGGAGGGAGGGCACGCGCTCCCTCTGCCCCCCTCTTCCTACGCCCCTGATTCTAAGACCACTTGATCCCGAGATTGAAGGCTTTATGTAGATGAACATTTCGAGTGGAAGATTCATACATATATTTAATTTAGACCTATAACCAGCTGCGGAAAATAGAACTATAGCAGGAATCGAACCTACGGCCCCGCAATTCCGTTGCAGTGCTGTAACCAACTGAGTTATAGAGTTCAGTTGTCGAGCTCCAACCACAAGTTCTTGTTTATATAACAGTATATATAGTACAGGTGATGCCATTATATAAAATATGAACAGATTGAAAGATTTATGTAGGATGGAAATTTCAAGCACAAATTTCAAGAAAAATCCCAAGCGCAAATTAAGATTTACAGCGTCATATTCCCAAAAATCTCTATATTTAGCCACAGGTTCGATTCCTGTCAGATGACAGCATTTTCGCAGCTGCTCCTGTAGTTAAGTCCGTAGTTAAGTCTAAAATTGTATATATTGAATCTTTCGTTATAAATTTCCATCTACTGCATGCAGGATCGCCGGGAGAGAGGCAGAGTGGAACTTTATCTCGGGCGGGGCTCGCAAAACAAGGGACCCTTAAAATTTATTGATGCAAGATTGATGAACTCAGAATATAAATCCCAGTACCCAGATGAATAATACATCTAAAAATCTCAAAAAATTAAGAAAATTGTCGGCAAAAAATAAACGATTTTATGTCCGCAAATTTTTTCCGGCACCAAATTTCCGGCGCCAATTTTCCGGCGCCATATGTCGTGGAAATTTTTTGATCAAGATTATACGTATAGTGTAATTTACAGCATGAGTTCCACATTTGAATTTTATTATACCAGTAAATTATTAAACGCGTCCGAATTTATCAACATGATAAATGGCAAATTCGCGGCACCTAACCCTTAACCTTAATTTTGTGTTACACAGCTTCGATCATGTTATATATACCCATTATCAGTAACCTTGCCCGCTCATTCAAGTGCTACAGTATGTATATCTATACGGAATAAAAAAAACAATAAAAAAATCGAAAAATCGAAAAATCAAAAAATACAAAAATACAAAAATACAAAAAATCAAAAAACAAAAAATCAAAAAATCAAAAAATCAAAAAAATCAAAAAATCAAGAAATCAAAAAATCAAAAAATCAAAAAATCAAAAAATCAAAAAATCAAAAAATCAAAAAATCAAAAATCAAAAAATCAAAAAATCAAAAAATCAAAAAATCAAAAAATCAAAAAATCAAAAAATCAAAAAATCAAAAAATCAAAAAATCAAAAAATCAAAAAATACAAAAACTGTTTTTGTGCTGTCGCGTCTGGGCCACCGTAGTATTTTTATGATTCTTGTGTGTACGAGTATGCTTTGCAAAATAATCTTTCAAAGTAAGACGTTTTCCCGACTGCACGATTTACTTTCGCCTCGGCCAGTTACAAAATTCAAAAGCCGTGTCGAAGTGAGCTGTGGTGTTTTCTGACAAAACAAGAAATGTCTACTATTATTTAAGTTTTCCTTGTACAGTATTTATTAGTGCAAATGTCTGATGAAATACTACGCGTATTGCATTGTCGGTAATATTTTAATTTACAATATTCTGTACTGACAAATAAAAGCAAGACAAATAATTAAATGAAACTACTAAATTAATTTAGGCCCTGTTTACTTAATAGCTCTACGCCTAAGCCGATGTAGTCTACAAGATTCGCACGCCACCCAGTTTTTCAGTTTCAGAATACGCCGAATACTTGAAAAATGCGACTATACGATAAAATAAAACAAAGATTGTGAACGGGATAAAATTTGTAGGCAAGCATTGCTCCTGAACGGCAAGTGTTGGTGTCCAGCGAAACAAGCGAACCGTATATTCCTGTACACCGTAAACAGGTTATGCGAGGTTTTATATTTGTGTTTATTTAATATATTGAACTAAGTCAGCTCTATAACTAGTATAAGAGCATATTTAAACTAAATATTAATTATAGCAATAGCCATATTGTTCAAGACGAGAGAAAGGAAATTTCGTGTGAATCACCACTTGCATGGAGACGCCTAGATACGGCTTGGATGCAGAGCTTTGCCTGTAGTTGAAAATCTCCAGAAATATCGGTATATCTTAGAAAACATAGACGGGATCTTCATAGATTTTAGCTGATTCGTGTCAAACTTCGCTCTACACATAAATAATATCGATTGAGAAGTCTTTTGGCTATTTATTACAGGATTATGTCGTGAAAGAAGGTAGACGATCTGCCGGAAGTTTCCGTCTTCATCTGAGTCGTTTCCGCGAAGGGCTATTCCGTTTCTTGTCAGTGTTTTAGTCACGTCAATAAGCATTTCGATAACCTCTCTATTCTTCGCTTTTTCGCTTTCGTCGTCGATAATACTTCTTCGCTGCTGTTTTGACAATAATCCATCGATATGGTTACCCTCTCGGACAAAAATAGCATAGTCACGAATTGCGGCAGTGTGAGCGTCACAGCTAAAGTGGGTTTGTAGTTTCCCTGGTTTGTTTTTGCCTCGACTGCCTTTCATCTTAGACCAATCATCGATACTTTCTATCCACGCTTTCTCTGATATTTCTCTCTGATCGCCTTCTTTTCCAAATATACTACACACGAAGCAGTAAGCCTTGTTTGCTAAAATACTGTACTCTAAGTAAGGGTAATCATCGAACCATGATTGAGAAAATGAGCTCTGCTTTCCCTTCTTGGTTAGTTCAAGATTACGTGGATAAATAGATAGTTTTGGTTGATATGGTCCAAGATGGATTAGGTACTTTATTTGGTTTCTTGTTAACGTTTCCGGTCTTCTAGCTGGATCATGTTCAATAAGATTGCTATCCTCAAGCATGTCGGATTCAGCCTCTGTTTGATTCTGGACTGCTTGTAGTCCAACTTTTGCAGACTCTTTCACGTCCTCAACCATTGTTACAACTCTTTCGCAAGTACTAATAAGTTGTGTATATGCAGATTTCAAGTGGACTTGATTTTGATCAGTTGCTTCACTCACTAGGCTAGATAATTTCTCGGAACTCCTTCGTAACTGACCGAGACAGCGGAGATACCGCTCTGTTGATGACACCGTTACATTGTCAGCGTTTTCGAGTGTATTTTCAGTATCTTCAAGCATCAATTCGGGAATGGTGGCAGTGCTGTTTGGCAATGGTGGCAATTCAGTTTCTGTGCGTACAAGATCAATTTTACGACATTCACGATCGTTCACGTCCGTTTCAGCTGTTTCAGATCCTTGAAAAATCGATTCAGACACTATAACTGATGCTTGTGAACAGATTGTTTGTTGTTTTTCATTTTCGGCAGTTGCAGAATCAGATGAAATATTTCGGTGGACGTCAGCGTCGGGCAAGCTCGGCTGGTCAATCTCTATTTCTACATCAACTTCCTTTTGAACAGGAGCCCAGCTCGCGTCATAAGAAGTCGACTCCCTTGATCTTGACTGTGTTTGAAGCTGTTGTAAACTTGTTCGCATTTTGTTGGCTGTTAACAGGAACCAATAGACTATCCAAAAATATATATTATACATAAAAATACATTATAATTATTGTGACTAGTATGGTGTAAGTATTAGCATAAAATCTATATCATAACCTCATTTAAATGTTCTATACTTCTTCGACTATACACACCGTCTGTCTTGCTTTTTGCATACACTAGTTGTTTCCAAATGGAATCAAATAGAATCGAAGTACACACAGCAACATGCCGATAAACAGACATAATACAGCTATACAAAATCTCAGTCTGGCTACTGCATGTCTGCATCAATTATATATTATTATAAAAAAAATTCAAATTATACCTCACTCAAAAGTTCGACAGGTTTGAAAGATTCAAAATTCAGGAGCCGTTGGGATTTGTCGACTATATCTTAAAACTTCGGCGTCAGTCCTTTGTGTATTGATTGCTGGTGATATGTCGTATTATCTGCGTTTAGTACTTTGTCGCATCGTAGGCAGATCACGCGCTTTCGATTGGTCCGTTCGGCCGGGTCAATTTTCCTGCGTTTCATTCCACAGTCTTTGTCAGACACTCAGACTGTCAAACATTCAGTATTGGGAATTCCTCATTCCTCCTTTTTGTTTGCCCCCAAATCACAAAAAGTCACATACTTTATACTTAGGTTAACATCAAGACGCTGTTCACTGTATAATGAATATATAAATGCGGAAAGATATGGATTATACAGTCACGTATAATATAGAGAATAGTAATACTAGGCTAGGACAATGCCCCCGTAGTGGCTCATTCAACCTAAACTATTCAACAATGTAACAAATCTACGAGACAGATCTTTAGATATTAGACGAATATTGCGAATATATCGGCCATAATGGGCCATTTGTGTAGAATTAACAAACTATATACGAGTAAAAATATGATATAGTACACAGCACACTGCACACAATACACATGTCGCAAAATATTGTAATTTTATTAACATAAAGAGTTGCTGTATCAATTTAAGCAAACAAATAATTCTATGTATTTCAAATACACTGTATCATTATCAAAAAGTAGATGAAATAATGAAATTAATATAATTTCTTGCACGTACCTTGTGTGTAGACTGTGGTTTGACTTTGTAAACACATGTATTTCAGTATTTGTCAAAACCGGAAGCGCCCAAAAAACGGAAGTGAATAATAAATTTACTTCGCGAAAAAAAATTCTGGTTATTTTTGCCGATGGGAATAGTAAATACGGACGTGCAATAACGTATTCTTTTTATTCAAATTTGTATTCTTGCAAAATAAAGCCTTGGCCACGTTGCAAAGACGGAAAACCTCTTGAACGTATCAACGTAGCCATAATAAATTAAAACCTTATCTATTTTCCGCATTTCAATCCTCTATTATTTGCCCGTTTCCCTTATGAGTTTTCAAGATTTTTTACCTGATTTATTAACGCCAGTTTTTCATGGATTTACCTGAAATTTTCAAATCGTCTTAGTTGGGGGGTGTCACACCCCCCCACACACCCCCCCGGTCGCTACGTCCCTGAGCGCAAGTCGTCCATTAAAACTACTATAGGTTAAACATTTTTCTGTCTAGATTCATATACCAATCATTGGTACAGTCTAGTAATGCAGTTGCTGTAGAATGAGATTTTCCAGAACCGAATTGAGAATCGCTAAGGAGTTCAAATTTTGTTAAATAGTTATACAGTTGATCATACATAATTTTGCTAATCGCAGGTAAAACTGATATTGGTCTATAGTTTCCTGGTATAGTTAAAAAGAAAAAAGACAGGAGAAATGGCGGTGGAAAATGAAAATATATTGAGATGTCAGCGTCCGTACGGAGATAAAAATTGCTGTTAAACGAAATCTATATGACTTCATTATCCTGAATTAATATCTCGCATTAATTCTTATGAAAAACTGATGAATGGACAATAATATATTCTCATTTTTTGGCTGAGAGTGTCAAGTTTTCAATGAAAATTTTCGAGTTTAGCGCATTTTGGCTTGAATAGAAAAGTTAATTAAGATATCCTGGTTCGGGTTTACGGATACGGGTGATATACACGTATACCTATATACCCCGAAAATTGGGGGTACGACTTGCAACTTAAAAAATCCAAGATATTCAGGGTACGAAAACCGATCGGAGAATAGTAACTTAATGGTTTCTAATATGATTTGTCGCACTGGGTAAATGGGCAAAAGTTATTTTGAAATCTTCACTAATGTTATCGTAATTTAATGGCCTTCTAACGCATAGTGCATGTGAGCCAATATGTTTTTGTATGCTTTTCTATATTTACGATTTTCTACGACCTACTTTGTATTTTCCGGTAGCGACAAATTAAATTGTACTTCCCTCTTCCGGAAACAAATTAATTAGGTTTTCCCTAGGTGAAAAACATGCTCTAAAAATTCGCACAGTAAAAGGTCAAGTTATAATATACCCAAATTAAGCAAATAGGAAACCGGTGATTTTAAGCAACACTTTTTTTCAGCTTTTTTAAGCTATAGGACCAGATTTGAAAACACGAAGGCAATATAATGCAGCCAGATTGTCTTCAACATTGAACAAAACAAAGCATGAAGGCAAAATTATGTTTTAGTTTGTATTTAGTTTGCATACATGCATGCATGTTTGCTTTCCATAAATACCAAGTGAAGTGACAATATATTCAAATCAATTTAACAGAAATCCTTTCTCTTCAGTTAATTAAACATGCTTTTTTCAGCTTGTTTTAGTCGTGTCAGATTTCAAAAAGTGCATCGAAAGATCATATAGGCAGCTCTAGCAAATGCATGTTTGCTCCATAAATATTACGTGAATATATTCAATTCAATTTACACAGAAACCTTTTTTAGTTAAACATACTTTTTTCAGCTTAATTCTTTTATATAAGTCGTGTCAGACTTGAAAAAGTGCATCGAAAGATCATATAGCTGTAACTATAATACAATCATGCATGTTTGCTTCCATAAATATCAAGTGAATATATTCAAATCAATTTAACAGAAAACCGTGCATGCATGTTTGCTTTCGAAGAGCAGCCAAAGTTTTTCTTTTATCATCACCTTTTAACATGGACGCATGCACAGGAAGGATTCATTTTTCAAAAAAGAATACACCACAAGAAAACTTCTTCAATAATAAAGGAGTTGTTGTTCTCATGATATTTTACTAAGTCGAATGCAGACTATATATCAATCAGATCTCAAAAACTTAAAAAATACGTGTAATCGAACATCGTATTCTTTTTATCAACATATATATTTATTGATAGTTGTAATCCATAATCTAATCATAATCTACCGCATGTGCCATCCCAATCGACGTCTGTGACGTTCGCGAAATTAAGTGTTTCTATTACAATGAAAAACCTATATGTCCTATCACGCACAGAAAGATATAAATGTCCGAATTTCCGTTTCAACGTCATTATTGAAATGTAATTTCGCTCACCTTGAAATACATGCAAGTATAAAGTATGCATGAGTAAACTCTATATAGTTTGATTACATCTGCAGTAACGTGCGATCATGCCCCATGCTAAGGCATATAAAGAGGCGTATTTCTCAAGCAATTAAGCAAAATCGTGGTGTGCAACAAATCTCAAGGGAATCAAAACACAACGAGAATTAGAATTGCAAACAAAGAAAATAACCAACATTGTTGCGATCATAACGTAGCTTGTACACAAAGAATACATTGGCGACTTTGATGCATTGAATTTTTATAAGATTTTATTATACAGTATAGCCTATAACGCCAACAATGCATATATTGCTGAACTTAATTGCTGGCCAAAGGCATTATATAGCTTTCAGTTCCAAATGATGGATTTTGGTTTACGAGTGGGCATTGATTGGCCAGTCGAAAACTAGCATTTTTTGAAAACGTAAATTATTCCCCCTCGCTGCTACAAAAGATCATGAAAGATAAAAAGCAAAAACAAAACGTTCCAGAGAAAATTTAAAACCGCAGGGAAGACAAATATTTAAATTAAACGAGGAAAAGTGACATAATCTAAATAATGATATAGCCCTAGTTCAAATGTTGCGCTCTTTATGTGCCAAATCCATTGTAAATAAATTACTTAAACTTTATATGGTCGAGCTAATTTTGGATCAGCACATGAAAAGTTCGAACTATACGTTTAACAACTCTATGACAGAATTGTTACGCAAATAATTCGTTGCACACAACAAATGTTTTGTACGTCTTAATGTTTTTTACTCACCTTTCCACGAGTCGTCACAAATGTTCTTTTTTATCCTCTAACTAGTCTTTGTAATGAAAACAATGGCACAAAAGGTCTGACGGTTCTTACTGTATATACCAGAACCAGCACAAATCATTTTAAACTTGGAAAGGAGTTTCATGGACGTATTCTTTTATCAACACATCTGGCACAGTAACTATTAATTATTCATGTTGCTGGGAGAAATGTGGCAATGTCTACAAATACTCCTGGAATGGGCATTAGTTTTTATTGTTTTTTTTAAGTGACGCAGATCATTGAAACAGAACTGATAAACGTTAATATAAGATGTATTAATATTTACTTAACACATATACTTTAAATTATTAATGTGGTGGTTTTCACTTGATTATACAATTGTCCTCCAAGTTGGATATATTGAAAACTATACAATGTTGTTTACTGATGTCAGTATTAATTGTTCTTTATTCGTGATGCAATAACTTGGGATGTTTCAACGTTTCTATTTATATTTCCAAAACTCAAGGCTGATTGGCTATTACCATTTGCGTTCAACCTTGAAGCTTGATGATTTTATCACTTTAACGCCTTTGTTTACGTTTAACATTACAAACGTGTCAGGTTTGACAATAGAACATGACATAGGCTATTTTATTTTTATAAAATCACTCATAAAATAGTCACGTTTAATTTGTGGAAAAGTACCGCAAGGTTTGGTTCACGTGCACGCCAGATTTTAAGCAATTTTGAATGGTATTGTATGTCTTGTATGTAGATGGAAATTATCGAGTGAAAATTTATATACATTTATTTGACCTTACCAGGGGCAGCTGCGAAAAATGCAACTATATATATATAGGTCTCTGACAGGAATCGAACCTGCGGCCCTGCGATTCCGGTGCAGCGTTCTAAGTTGCATTTTTCGTAGCTGTTCCTACATGGTTAAGTCTAATAAATGTATATAAATTTCCACTCGATGATTTCCATCTATACAATACCCTTTAACTATTATTATTATTATTCAATCGAGTGAGATGCCAACAAAATTTTGATATTTGACCAATTTCCCCTATTTTCGAATGTTACACTCGTAATATTCAAGTTATTTTGCAAGACAGAATGAACGATCAACATGAGGATCAAAAACATATCCATACTTCGCAACGAAAATCGAAAAATCGAAGTTTTTTAATGATGTAGGTTTCCCAGTAAAAGGTGCACATTTTGTCAGCAAAGGTTCATGTTTGAAATGTAAACAAACGTGTTACATCGTCAAACGTCAAGGTTGAACGGAAAATGGTAATATACGAGTGCATGCATGCATGCATAATTGCATAATGGTTAAGGCGGCATATTCTCCAGAAACACGAAGAAACAACTTTGATCCCTCTTCAGAACTTCTTAGAATCAGGTGACACATTCTCAGTGAGGCTGATTTCATGAAATTCAATATTAAAGAGTGAAATAATGAAACTACGGTGCTCAAGACAAGCTTTGAGCAGGTGCGAAAATATTTCCCCGATATTTATGCATAATATATAAGAGTCTGATAAATCAAGTTCATATTTGAGTTTATATTAGGATTTTAATTAGCTAGTGCGTTTTCGCAGCTGCCTTGGTTAAATCTAAAAATGTAATACTAGTAATTACTATCGCAAGTGAAGTGCTGCCTTAAAGCTGGAAATAAACGCTTAAAGATGCTGTACAGTCCGTATGTAAACAAAGGCTTTGTTTACATGTCGATATCCAAAATATTGAGTTTTATTCGACAACTAATTATATTTTCATGATTCTAGAGTGTAATAAATGATCAAGACACAACAATTAAGCTTGCAAGACCATAAAATGAAATAAAAACCTAAATAAATGGTTTTTATAATAAAGAGGGCTCCTTTGTGCACATGTGCAGATCGGATTGTACCGCATCTAAATAGTTGGGAATAAATTGCGATTTTCCAAATTCAAAAACAACAGCAGTACCATTAGGGTCAGACATAACAAAATAATTTCTGGCATGAGGATCAAATAAATAGAAAAAGGAATTTATACCATGCATTAAGGCCATCATATACCCATATAATATCAAAATAGCATCCTTACTTTGTGTAAAAGTATTCATCAAAGCTGAATCAAAGTTAACATAGGGAGCTCCAACTTCATGCTCATTTGTAATAATTGAACCTTAACGGTCCTTTCCAATTTCCATAGTTTATATACCAAATTGTTTCATCATTTTGTTTCTCATTAGGTTCTAACTCGATTACAATAGACAGTGTTTTATTGCAAGGAGACAGTATGTATCGAAATGCTTTTGAAGATGGTCTGATTGCACATGAGAGATATTTGTCAATCGATGAATTACCGTCCAATGGTCGAATGATTTTCAGGCACACATACGGCCCAATGAGGCACAAAAACAGCCCAATGAGGCACAAATACAGTTCAATGAGGCCCAAATTCAGCCCAATGAGGCACAAATACAGCCCAATAAGGCACAAATTCAGCCCAATGAGGCACAAATACAGCCCAATGAGGCACAAATTCAGCCCAATGAGGCACAAAATCAGCACAATGATGCACAAATACAGCCCAATGAGGCACGCATTCAGCCCAATGGCCCCCAAAAGGCACAAATTCAGCCCAATGAGGCACAAATTCAGCCCAATTAGGCACAAATACAGCCCAATAAGGCACAAATGCAGCCCAATGAGGCACAAATTCAGCCCATTGAGGCACAAATACAGTCCAATAAGGCACAAATATAGCCCAATGAGGCACAAATTCAGCCCAATAAGGCACAAATACAGCCCAATGAGGCACAAATTCAGCTCAATGAGGCACAAATTCAGCCTAATAAGGCACAAATTCAGCCCATTGAGGCACAGATACAGCCCAATAAGGCACAAATTCAGCCCATTGAGGCACAAATTCAGCCCAATGAGGCACAAATTCAGCCCAATGAGGCACAAATACAGCCCAATGAGGCACACATTCAGCCCAATGAGGCACAAATACAGCCGGATGAGGCACCAATACAGCCCAGTGAGGCACAAATACAGCCCGATAAGGCAGAAATACAGCCCAATGAAGGCAGAAATATAGCCCAATGAGGCAAACTATGAAGTACAGCCCAATGAGGCAAACTATGAAGTATTTATATCTAATTTACATGTGGTCCACTGAAAAACGGGCATGGCTTGAGCAGTTATAAAGAGCGCCGATAAACACATAAACGAGCATTGTTTCCCTCGCAATTGTTCACTAAAGAGTTCGTGGCCCTGCTGAATACTTCCACGAGCAACTAAAGACATAATTTATTCTTAACAAACGACTATATTTACCATAAAAAATTCTTTAAAGGCGGATACTATATAATACCGATAGATGTGTAACGTACGATGAATATTTCCGACATGATCCCCCCCCCTTGACCTCCCTCAATAAGATGAAAATCGAGATTTCACGTCCAATAATTATAACTCGGTCAAAGAAACTGGGCACTACAGTAATACCGTGAAGATTAGAATGCTGCATTCGGCAGCAATAATTTTACACTCGAAATTTCCATCTATACAAAACCCTTCAACATTTTAGTACTTTGGATGCCCAAAATCCTGATATTCACCGTATAACTAAAGAGGCCCGTTTACACTTCTGCGATTTTCTTCTTCTGATGCATGAGAACGAGTACATGAGGTATGAATTTTCTAAGTGTATGAGCCCTCATTTGAACATTCATAACTAAGGCGCATGCAATTTATTTTATTTTTATTACGGAAATCTTGGCGAAACTGCTCTTGCTGGGAATGATTCAAAAAATGTAGTATACTACACTTGCATTAGTCAGATTGGCGCAGTTCTGCATGTTCTCGACATGTCATGCACAAATACATACCAACTTCAATGTATAGAGAGACCGCGTAGTTGTTCATATTACTGTACATAGGCTACATGTATTATTTAGCTCACAACGAGGCTTTTCAGTGACCGACTATACATCATTATGTTTTACTTGTATTATCTACTTAGCCTATAGACTAATTATCTTTACAACAATTGTGATATTACTTTCCTAACTATATATGTTTATCCTAACCCACCCTGTCAACTTTCCCTGTGGGAGGAAACCGGAGCAACCGGAGAAAACCCACGACTTTCGGCATGACGCGTTGACTGACTCTTTTCATGCATGGGCCCGTGGCGAGAATCGAACCCACGTTCTCAGAAGTGAAAGGCGCTTGCTCTGACGACTGCGCAATGATATGAAAAGCAATGAATGTTGCAAAGGTTCTTACCTTTAATTTTTAGTTGAGACTTTATGACGTGTTTCACTTGTACTTGCACAAGAAAAATGCCATATTTCTTTGTGACGTTATATGAAATCTTGCTCAAAGCTTGACGTAGAATTTCACTGCTTTAATTTTGATTTCGTGAAGAACTATAAAACAGTAAAAGTCAACCAAATAACTAAATGATTTTACATTATTTACATTTTGTCTTAAGCTCATCACTTCAGTTCAGTCATGGGGGAAGCACTCAAGTTATCTCTCTTAAATACCATGTGTCTCAGCAGAGGCGCAGGAGCATTAAAACACTCAAACTTTTATTCAAATATTAAATCAGTTATATATATGCATGTGGATAACTGCTTTCAATACTTCATTTAGAAAAAAGAGATGTCTACAATACGCGAGTTTATAATTAATTCCTGCATGCCTACATGCAGCTGATGCTTCGTCCTCGGCAAGGTGAACAAACAGAATAGGTGAGCTTAAAATGAAGCTAATATATCTCTACGAATTAATTTTAGACGTCAGTTAAATATTTGTTTTTCACATCGGGACACAATTTCGTTTTTAGCTCAAGCAAATGCAACGTTTTGTGAGAATATATTCAGTTTGGCCGAAGTTTCTTCACAAAATTATTCGGTTACGTTAGACAGGAGGGCTGGACTTTGGAGGAAGAAAGTTTAGCAAAAATAAACAATATATAACGGATAATAAAGGACTATAAATGTTTCTTCACACTTTGCACGAAGATAAAATCTAACTCAAACATTATTATGCATGAGCATGTATTAGCTATAAAAAAGTTATCATAGAGGGGAAACAATGCCAGTGACCTATAGCACTCTTTTGCGAAAATAGTTATTTCAAACTGTCATTTTCAGTTCACGATTGAATGGAAAAACTCCTTTTATTCTATACATTGCATTTGAGAACACAACTCGGTGTTTTATTATTGCAAAATGTATAATAAAACCATATTTTTGTCAGCCATGCATATTCTCGCTGTAGCGTTGATAATTGACAATATGCACATGCATGAACGTCTTTCATACCTGCTTAGTGCTCACATCATAGGAAGACTACGAACTATCTTCCTTCGTTACAAAACTGGGGAGAAGAAGATAGCTATAGCTAAAGGAAGATCAAGGCTAACCGAAATAAAACATGCGAAAGTTTTCTCCGCCCTATATTCACATGGCGCGCCAATTTTCACGAGTCGCGCCAATTGGTCATTAGATTATCTCTATAGAAACATTTTGGTAAAACAAGTGTAGTTTCATGTCATGGCGCAATGAAACAATTCATAAAAGTGAAAAAAATGAGAAGAGCTACATATAGCTACGTCTCCATTACTCTAAAAGATAACACTCGCATGCAGATTTCTATAATGTTCTATATATAGTATTTCAAAACTTCTAGTTTCAACTCGCTAAATCTATTTTGTATAATATTTATAAGCCACTGCTTTTTCTCTCATGTCGAAGATTTTTAACATTTTACTTAAGGCCAATACCAATTAATATGCATGATGGCAAAAAGCATTAAATTTTTAACAAACTGTTAAGAACCGGTTAACAACATACATACGTTTTTTTTTAAATTTGACCGACACACGACTAAAAAAACTGGCATCTTTCTTTGCACGATAAACACGTTTTTGCGTAAAAAAGTGAATCCACTAATATATATATATATATTCATGTGCGCGGAACGCGAGCGCTCCATCCTCTAATATTTTCTTCAATTAATTAAACGTGCGTGTCTGCACTATGAATATTGTAAGTGCTTTTTTAGCATATACGTCATGCACAATGCTGGCCGTTGAATTTTAGAATAAGATTCCAATTAGATAAGCGAAAGCTTCCCCTAAGATAAGCAAGAGCTTCCTTCAAGCATATAGTGTGGGAGGACCGGGGGTTAACGAATTATGCTCACGTACGTGCAACTATATACTGTGGGGTTAACGATATATACCGGGTGGCGCAAAAAAAAGTTGCCCTGTTTGATTTATTTTAACTTAAAAACTAAAAGAGCTATCATACCTAAACTACGTGCATTACATTCAGTATTGTCTAACTTAAATTTTGATATACGCCCTGTGCATTTTCGTGCAATATTGACCGAGAGAGCTGCGTTTAAACTTGAATAAACATTTTGGGAAGTGTCGAGAAAAAATTTTCGGTCAGTGTACCATTTTAGGGGTCAAAAACTTTTTCCGGACATACCAAAATTTTTCGTAACATCACACAAATTTTCCAAAAAGAACAAAATTTACAACAAAATTGACTGAATTTTCAACTAAATTGACAGAATTTGTCCCATTTATTTTTATTACTAACCAAAATTGCCCGACTGTTGATCGAATATTGCCCGATTGCCCAAAATACTGGGGG